TCTTTGAAAATGTACACTTATGAATGTAAAATTTAGCAAGATATAGCAATAGATTAATAATAAATTTACACTGAGAAAGATCTAAAATTTTTGGGGTTATACAAAAGTTTGGATATAAATATTTTTTAAATAAAATTGGAAAAGTCAACCCAGAACACTTTAGAATAAGCACAGTCCCAAAATAAATGATTGATTGTTTCTTCAGACTGAAGGCAAAAGGAGCAATTGGGGAAAATACTATTGTTAAATTTAGCAAGTTTGTAATTTACCGGATAACAATTATGGATCATTTTGATAGAGACTTCAACAACTTTATTAGATAAGAAGAATTTGTGTCGAAGAAGCCAAAACTCTTCTCATTCTATATCACTAAATATGTTATTCCAAAAACTCACACAAGCAGGTAAAGAAATCTGAGCTCTATTAATAATTGAACGGATGTCTTTGTTTGACATGGCATTGAGAAGACTTTGGTCAAGTCTAAGAGAACCTGTGCACAAACAGATTCAGGAAAAGTCAACCCAGAACACTTTAGAATAAGCACAGTCCCAAAATAAATGATTGATTGTTTCTTCAGACTGAAGGCAAAAGGAGCAATTGGGGAAAATACTATTGTTAAATTTAGCAAGTTTGTAATTTACCGGATAACAATTATGGATCATTTTGATAGAGACTTCAACAACTTTATTAGATAAGAAGAATTTGTGTCGAAGAAGCCAAAACTCTTCTCATTCTATATCACTAAATATGTTATTCCAAAAACTCACACAAGCAGGTAAAGAAATCTGAGCTCTATTAATAATTGAACGGATGTCTTTGTTTGACATGGCATTGAGAAGACTTTGGTCAAGTTCGGAGGTTCTTGGCTTCATGACGTTCTTGGCCTTGAATGCATGTAAACGTTCAAGCGAAGTCATGTGTAGGCACAAATAGTTGTTTATTACTTAAGGGTGTTTGTAAAGTCATGCTTTCTTCCAAGCAGTTTGAAGCCGTGATTCAGTTTATAAAAACTAATGTCATTTAGAACTTAAATAGAATTCCAAAAGACCGACTAAAACTATATACAGGTTCTTGTATGCAGTTGCTGGACTGCATAGTAAATTTCTACATAATTTTATTTACAACCTCTTATAGAGAAAACAGCATCAAATTATTTACCTGTTACATTACATACATAACTAATTACTCATGCATAGCCTGAGAATCTAAATAAAGTATCAATTTGATTGGCTAATACGAAAATACTTTAAGAACATAATAATCTACCGAATAAAAATGTTGTATAGTTTCAAGCTCTCCCTTAAGAATGGCTATTTTGAACGTCTCAGAACTAGAAGCAATATCAAAGTAATGAAAGTGCGCCATCATCAGGTAGTTTGTGACACACACACACACACCCACACACACACATAAATAAAAATGCTAAATAAAGTATCAATTTGATTGGCTAATACGAAAATACTTTAAGAACATAATAATCTACCGAATAAAAATGTTGTATAGTTTCAAGCTCTCCCTTAAGAATGGCTATTTTGAACGTCTCAGAACTAGAAGCAATATCAAAGTAATGAAAGTGCGCCATCATCAGGTAGTTTGTGACACAAAAAAGTTTCTAAGTTCTGAATAATACCCCCCCCCCCCCATTTTTCTATTTGCATTTTGTTTATTTTACTGTTCACTCGTGCAGCTTGAAATTGATTTGACATACACCAGACTCATTTTAAAACAGTATAGCGCACCCATTGTTTATATTGCTCTCTCTCTCTCACACACACACACCCACACACATAAATAAAAATTATATCTGATGTGATGCAGAGTTCAAAATGTCTGCCGTCATACACTCTTAAAAATAAAGGTGCTTCAAAAGGTTCTTCAAGCGATGCCATAGAAGAACCATTTTTGGTTCCACAAAGAACCATTCAGTCAAAGGTTCTTTAAAGAACCATCTCTTTCTTACCTTTTTTTATCATATGAAGAACCTTCTTTCACCACAAAGAACCTTTTGTCAAACAGAAAGGTTCTTCAGATGTTAAAGGTTCTTTATGGAACCATTTAGACAAAAAGGTTCTTCTATGGCATCGTGAAGCACCTTTATTTTTAAGAGTGTAGTTTGAGCCATACTTTGGCTAGTTTTATGGTGACACTGCTTGCTAATTTCTGCTACCCACTGCGACGTAAGATAGGCCTATTTCATAGGCTGGTGTATTTAAGTAAATGTAATCGAATGGAACTTAATGGATTCCTAGATCGTCTTTTATTTTTTACCAAAACAAGCATTCACTACTACTTAGTGTTTGTTTGTTTGTGTCAAAATTAAGGAGAAAAAACACTACATTAAATATATTGATCTCTATTCCTCCAGCCTAGTTATTTTGTCACAAAGTAAATGACTGCATTAGCTCTTCTCAGTCCTTGATGGTCTTTCTTTGAATGATCTGCTCTCTACCAAAGAAAGCAGAGACCGAATTTTCCATGACGCGAGTTCTTTTCAGGTTTAAAAAAATCAGCGGGTTCACCGAGCTCAACGTGATCTGTGTACAAATATCAGGCTTGATTACAACTTTCTGAATTGATCACGCTTTTGACGCCAACGCAGACCAAAGCTGGCACATATTTCACACGTTTGCGTTCGTCTCTTTAATGAATTATGTAATGCGCGTGAATACTCTCTCCAGTTTAACAGCCCAGCGAGTCAACGGGGATTGTTTGGTGAAGGGTCCTGCATACTAAACCTCACTGTTCTAACGGGGTTGCTGATGCCGTACTTAGTGATTGACAACGGCAAATGTAGATCAGAACAGAAACGTATAAAGCTGTTGGTCTTTGCATAGAGCTTGTTTCAGCAGACAATGAGACTGTGTGGTGTGCGTGTGCAGAATTCCACACAACACTAAACGAAGCTGCTGCCAAAAAAACTCCACTTCGTATCCCACCCCCACTTTCCCTCTCCAGCTCAACTCCATTCACTATGATGCTCGACTCCTAGCGAGAAGCTCCTCCGCAGCCGACATCCGCTGTAAGGGGAAACCTCAATGAAATTCAAGAACAAATCTTGGCCAGAATTAACGTTTGTACAGCGAGCGTGAAGTGAAGCTGAAGACAGCGCCGATCAGGGCTTTCATCAAGACTTTATTTTGGGGGCACTTTTAATATTAACGTCCCCCACCCCCCACCCCTAAGGCTTTCCCGTCACTTTTCTTCACTGAAGACATCGACATATTCTTATTCTTATCTAAAGATAATTATCAAAAGATATATTTTTATTTTTTTTATTTTTTTAAACGAAGACAGTCTGAACAGTTGTTTCACACAGTATTTGACTTTCTTGGACTGCTGCAGACTTTATTCGTGGGCTGAAATCTCGCAGTAAATCGCCTGGACCGCTCGTGTATGTGATTGGTTTAACAAGTACCTTTATTCTTCAGTGAGAGATCATGGAGCGCGACTCTACCGCGGGAGGGGCGGAGGACCTGCTCCTGGAAGACACAGTTTCAAAGCTGGCAAGTGACCATAACCATAATGCACCAGACTTATGTGGTTACTTTTGATCAGGGCATTGTAATGACCATACCTGGCTGGATTAAGTGCTCGGCGCAATATATAGTAGTCAACAATATAATAGAAGGCAGATAAACGAGGTATTACCCAATTGTAAGTAACTTCTTGTATCAATTTTTAAATTCATTACTGGTACAGTAAAACTGTATCACCCAAGTTTCACCTGCTCATCATTATTTAGGTCATTTAACATGGGCGATTATTATTCAATATAGTTAAGATATTACATTAGGCCTATAGATATATTGTAGTAGAGGCATTTAAAAATCCCTCTGGTATCTTAAGGAGCTGTTTCTAACTGAGCTGGGGTGCGTTTCCCAAAAGCAACTATGTTCGCAAGTTCCGTCGTTACCAATAGAGTTCAATGGAACTAACAACCAAAGTTAGCTAACGATGCTTTTGGGAAACGCACCCCTGGTTGTTAAAAATGACTTGTATTTATGTAAGCAGGTTGAATCTGTCATATTAAATAACACTGAGTAAAAATTAAGTCCAAAACTATTTACAGTTTTATGGCAACAAGTAAGATTGAATTAACATGATTGAATGCATTAGGTATCATGAAGTAAAACGAACAAATTATATTTCATGTTCATTCACAATGCAGTAGTAAATCTTTATACAACAGGAAATGTTTCTATATCGAAATTAATATGAACCTAGATTACATTTTTTTTTGTTAGTTAATGATAATAAATGCATTGACTAATGTTAACATACTGAATCCTTATTGTTTCCAGCTTTAAAAGCACATTTTATGTGTGTCTTGATATTGAGAATGAGTGTGTAACATCTGGCTGAAGAGTGACCCTGCAGATCTTTTGCAGCTGTGAGAGGTTAGATCTCCCAACATGGGTCAGCGAGTGTGTGGGTCCTCTTCTGCCTCTCATAGATCAATGGGATTGTGAAACGTCTTTCATTCACATTGCTTTCATGCACTTGCTTTTCACTTTTTTGAAGATAAATATTTGTCTAACTCTTCTCCTAGCCTTTCCTCTTTTAAGAACATCAGACAATATTATCGACATTAAAGTGAGTTTTTAACCATTTAATGCTTATTGCAGTGGTCTTTTTTTACACTACTTACAATTGTGATTCAGAAACATACTTATTAACGTTCCATGTTGTCTTTAGCGTGCAGGATCACTTCACAAACACGAACTAGCTGAGGCCATGGAAGTGGAACAGGAAGGACTGGTAGAACATCAGCCTCTGGAGCAGGATGACCTTAACTTTGAGAAATGGAAGCCCAAGCCAAAGCCTAAGAGGACGCTGCATGAGAAAATCGACGACATAAAGACTTACCTGTGGAACGCAGAGACTAAGGAGTTTATGGGCCGCTCGGGGAAGAGCTGGAGTGAGTAACAAGACAAAATGATATTTGAATGTACACAACAAGATACCCGTTTCAATGACAAAACAAAGGGCATTTGTCTGTGGGTGAGGGAGTGCATCCAAATTGTACTTGGACTGTAAAGTCTTTAATTAGTGATGTTCAGTCTCGCTGTATAGAAGCAAAAGCAAGTGAGACTATAGCTTATTGTTTTTGTTCATTATTTTCCATTTTTAGTGGAGTTATGGGAATGAGTTGCGGGGATGAGGGGTGATGAACTGTGCTTCTGCTCGCTCAGACAAAGTGTGTGTGCATGTACACGCTGTCACTGTGGGTGCATGTGTATGTGTGTGTGTGTGCGCATGTCCAAGCTTAGTGTTTACATAGGTGCACAGATAGCTTAGAGACATCTTGACAAAAACAGACTGCCTGGGGAATGGTCCTCAGTGGGAAAGCGAATGTCACAGTCCCTTTGCTGGCCTGGGATCACATTCCATTTACCCCTACCGTGCTTTCCTATCCCTCTTTCCCAAAGCCCCCTTGACCTCCAGATCTCCTCCAACACGCTCTCAGATCAACGGCACAACTTAACATTTAGCGTTTTTTTTGTCCGAGCTCAGAACTTTTTTGTCAGCGAGCATTTCCTGAAGACGTTCGACGATGACAGGGCAGTCAATCGCTGCCTCTGAATGTCCCGTTGCTAAGCAACACAGCAAATTCCCATCGGGACAATTGTTCTAAACAGCAATATGAACGTTTCCTGGCGGTACAGAGAGAAATCTCAACACACCAATGCTCCGAATTGAGCGTTTGTCGTGACTCGCCCCCTTGACCTCCAGATCTCCTCCAACACGCTCTCAGATCAACGGCACAATTTAACATGTAGCGTTTTTTTTGTCCGAGCTCAGAACTTTTTTGGCAGCGAGCATTTCCTGAAGACGTTCGACGATGACAGGGCAGTCAATCGCTGCCTCTGAATGTCCCGTTGCTAAGCAACACAGCAAATTCACATCGGGACAATTGTTCTAAACAGCAATATGAACGTTTCCTGGGGGTACAGAGAGAAATCTCAACACACCAATGCTCCGAATTGAGCGTTTGTCGTGACTCATGATGCAACATCTCCATGCTTTACATGGGCATGATATGATGGGGAATGTGCAGGAGGTGGATTGAATAAACAGCCGTAGTCTTCCTTAGCGCATGGGAGGGGCTGCTGGAGGGCTGTGATGCATGTCCCATGAAAGGAGAGTGCAGAGGCCTCACAATGCCAGAATGGGGTGATCGGGCTCCTTGGAGCTGGCTGTGGCTCTGTATGGCTGCAAAAGACCGTCACTGTGATGGCAACCGGAGGTTCACTGTGTTCCTGAGTGAAAGGACAGCTGGGAGAATTTTCACCAGGCTCAAACAGAAAGGCCTTTGTGGCTGGGGGACACAAGATGGGCCACAGCTAGTCCCTGTGAAATTGTCTGTGCAGCAATAGCCGTTTAGTTTGACGGCACGTCCCATTTGATCAGCTGTTAATGGACTCTTAATTGAAAATTAAAGGACAATGGCTACACTTTTTTTTTTTGCTGGGTCTTATATGCTAAATTTCATTGACTTTAGTGTCTTAAACACTTCCACAATGAAAAGGCTTAGTATTTGAATGGTCAACTGAATGAAAGATACATACATATAAGAAAGAAATTCCTATATGAAAAACTGTCCCAGTCTGATTGCAGTGGTGTGACCATTTCACTTTACTAATACCTTTTTATGTGAATCAGTTATTCAACTCAAATATTTACAAGAGGTATCATCAATGAAATCTTGCTTTATTCATCAATATTTTCTTATCTTTTTTTCCAGGCCTTATTCTGCTCTTTTACTCAGCATTATACATTTTCCTTGCGGCCATGTTTGCTGGTTGTATGTGCTGCCTGATGTGGTCAATTAGTCCATATGCTCCCACCTACAATGACAGGGTGATGCCACCAGGTTGGAAAAAAATTGCATTTTACTTTGTGAACATTCAAAGAGTATGAAAAAAGGCTGAATAATTATTGTGTAAATCTATTTAATAATTATTATTTTTATTTTTAATAGAAATTATTTTAAAATTTATATTATTTAAAATTCCGCAAACCCAAGGGGGGATAAGTGTTTTGGGGAATGGATGGATGGATGATTTAAAATTACAATGGTAAATAATTTAAAATTAATAATATAATTTTTTCCCCCTTTAAAATACAATTGATTTATTTAAATATATGTAAGTATTCTAAAATAATACAGAAGTATATAAACACAATTCTAGTACATGAGCTTAATACAGTTATTCCTGTATTTTCACTGCAGTTCAAAATCTTCTGTTTCTCCCCCGGCAGGCATGACAATGTTTCCTCATGTCGATGTAGCTCATGGGTTTGACGACATTGCTTTCAATGCCTCTGACCGAAGCTCGTGGAGGAAGTATGCGAAAGCACTAGAAGCCCATCTGAAACGTAAGTCCTGGATGAGAGAACAACTAAGGTTATTGAGTTTGGTTTTACACTCTTTAATAGGGAAGATACGTTTTCTGTTCAGTGGGCACAGATTCAGATCGCTCCAACACGCTGTTTAACAAATCCTGCGGTCTATAGAAATACTGACAAGGAGGGAAACCCTTTTGTGCACTCAGTGTAACTGCTCAGTGCTGCCAGGGCCCCACTTTTTGTGCTGGCCTCTAAGTTGTAGAGGCCAGGCTGGGCAGCAGCCATTGTTTGGTTATTTTATGGTCTCTCTCTCTCTCTCTCTTCCATCTCTTTTATTACGGTTTCCCGCCATGGCTGTGTTCAGCCTATGACGATGGAGTGCAGGATAGGCGGAACAATAACTGCGAGGGAAATACGTATTTCAAGCAAGATGACTTAGAGGAGAGTGCCGAGCGCAAGGCATGTCAGTTTAAGAGGTCCTGGCTGGGTGAATGCTCCGGGCTGAAGGACAGAGATTTCGGCTACTCGAAGGGAAAACCCTGCATCCTCGTCAAAATGAATCGGGTGAGATTGTAATAGAGATTATAATATACTGTACAAATATGATTTTGTTTGCTGAACAAAATTTCTCCAAAAACTGAATAAATAAAGCTCTGAAGCTCTAGTGCCATCTTGTGTCTCAGTGGTTAATTAAGTGGCATGTCAGACACTTGACTGTTTTCTGTTGTGACAGATTCTCGGGTATCTGCCTGGTCAAGGCACACCAGTAAATGTTACATGTGGAGTAAAGGTAACAATTAATGACTAACACAATCCGTCACTACTATATAAATAACTAAATAAAACAATTATACAGTATAACAACCCAGTTTCTTTGCAGTATTCCAAACAGTAACACTTTTTTTTGATCTCCTCCAATGCTTTTCCAGAAAGGGTCAACTGAAGGCCTCGGAGAAGTCCAGTTTTTTCCAGAAAATATCTTCAACTTGCGGTACTATCCCTATTATGGGAAACTGAGACATGTAAGTGATCCTACTTAACATTTCTCTCAGAATTCCTCATGACTCAATAGCATTTCATAGCATTTTTCACCATTTCTACAAACAGGTCAACTACTCTTCCCCGCTGGTGGCTGTGCGCTTTCCTAGTGTCCAGTATGACACCCAACTTCACGTTCAATGCAAACTAAATGGCAAAGGCATCATCAACGATTCACCAACTGACCGTTTCCTGGGTAGTGTGTCTTTCACTTTAGTAGTGGGTGCGTAGGGTGGCAGTAGACCTAGAGAAATTGAAATTAAACTTCTCAGAGTATGTTATAATAAATGAAATAGCACACTGGGTGTTGTCGTTACCCATTAGCCCTCTGATTATGCCTCCGGCAGCCACTGTGCTATTCATGTCAGAGCTGTGTTACTACACTACTTTTTCAAACAAGGAATTTACCAGTAAGACTCAAAAGACTGAGATTCATAGATCACATTCAGCACCCAGCCGCTAGAGACTGACCTGCCTGGATTTCATTATAGGATAAAATGAAAGTATGAAAAGATCTCCAAATACAGTAAGTAGGTTGCAATTATAGCTATTGAGGCATAATCACTCTACAGTGAGACGTAGGCAAAACAATTCTTTAGATCGGTGCAGACTGTAGAATTAACATCTATTAAACCTTTTTGATCAGTTCTTTTGCTAAGTCAGATGTGTATATAACAAATTAAAACACACAAAATATTTTTTTATGATTGTTCTGTTAAGTCGGTCTTCTTTAAATTCCTCCTTTGGACGAAGAAAAAGGCAGCTTAACTGCGGCCCTTTAAACTGCTTAACATTATCCTTTTGCTTGCTCATTTAATTGAATAACAATCAGATGTGGTTTAGAATTAATAATTGATTGTACATTTTTGGACTAAATTTTTTCTTTCTGGAAGTGCAACTAAATTTTGATTCCAGAGGCAAATGTATTTTACTGAAATGTGGGACAGAAATCCCATTTCATCATTTTCACAGAGCTTCATAATGAAGTACTAGTTGATCTTTCTTTTTCAAAGCATGCAACCAACACTTCTTTAAAATGAAATCGAGTATGTCACAATTAATCTCGGAGTGAAACTATCTGCTCAGCTGCCTGTAAGGAGGATTTCAACAGTATTATTTATTAATTGTATTTGAATATATTGACATGGTACAAACAGTTACAAAGTGTAATAGTGAGACGGAAATTGGTAACTGCACATCTTTGTTATTCAGTAAATGCAACGAAATATCCACTGGCTGACAAAGATTTGCCAGCTTATGTTTTAAACGCACTCATGTTCTAGCATAAACAATAAAGATGGATGAGAATTAACGGAATCAAACCTTTCTGCTCAGTTTTCCATTCTGTTTAAAAGTAACAAATCAGTTGTGATCTGCGTCATATTGTCTCTAATGATAAGTTGCTTGAGACGGTCACTTAGAATAACTGACAATGTAAAAAAAAAACATCACTACATTCAAACTTCAATGCAGTTATGTGCATTCAGTAATAGGCATAAGTATTATGCAGGTCAAAGTGAGATGCTTCTAGTGTTCCAGTAACAGAGGCATAATTTATGACAACAGTAACTTTTATAGCAACTGCTGACCTAAGTCCATCAGTGGAAACTAGAGGTTATAACTGTGAAATCATGTGAACTGTGTAAAACTAGTTGCTTAACACCTCAGGTCTAACGTGAAATCAACATGGCACTGAGATTCTCAAAAAGAGGTCAGAGCAAGAAAACAAAGAGAGAGGAAGACCACTGTACAATGCAAAAAAACCCCAACATTTTATTGAATTTTTTCCCACTTTGAACCAACATTCAAAGAAATTGAACTAAAAGGCACACTATAGTACAATGATATTCTGTGTTTGTTTTAACAGCTAAATCCTTTGGGGGTTTTTATGAAAAATAAAACGATTGTCAAATGAACTGGTTTGGACACATTAGTATTTTCACTACGCAGAGCAGAATATAAGACTGAAAATACACAGGAACTTGTAGCTTTGGTCTTAGAAATGGTGTATTTTGTACATTGTATGCATGTGTCCAGAGAAATGACAAACTAAATCCACAAACCCATGTACTAACAAGCCTATCGTAACACTTCCAACATTCCCTGAGAGGGACCTAACGAAATCAACAAATTCTTCATATTCGATGCTGGTAAATGTCACAAAAAAAAAAAATTAGTGTCCCTTTATAATACAATATGCAAAGTGCAAGAGTGTGACTTCTTAGCTCTGCTGATTAAGAAAATACGCCAGGATACTTTTCACCCCTAATTTTGCCAACAACTGATTCTCGAGAGTACAATTACAGAACTAATTTAGCATTTACATTCAATGGTTAATAAACTCAAAAGATTCCCCATTCTAAAATTGCATTATTAATTCATAATAATAGTTCACATGAATATAACTCAGGCAACCAGAACTGAGCATCCTTAGAGCAAGAAAAACCAAAACTCCCATAAAAAGGGGGAATAATATTTTTTTCCCATGCATTTAACATACAGCACAATGCCAGCGGATTTTAGACAGCCTGTGCTTAACACCACACAAGTGAATCATGCCGGTTGACATTGCTAGAAGGGTGATTAAGCAGAAATATGCCACATCATTCAGAAAACGTTTAAATCATACACAGGAAATGATAAGAATTATGTAGTAATGATATAATTACGCAATCGAACTTATTAGAAATAGGGGTGTCATCAGTGGCTCCACATTAACACCACTGCAGACATTCTCAACACACTTCACCCAAAAAAAAAAAAAAAAAAAAAAAAAAAAAAAACTCACAGATACTCATTTTGGTAAAACTGGGCCATTTCTATGAGACTTTACAGATTTATTCATCTTTGCTAACATTAGTTAATAAAAAGACAACTGATCAATGTTAGCTTATATTAGCTCAGGTCCATTATATAATATTAACATATTACTTTGTTGAAATTAACATTAAGATAATAAATGCTTTAAAATTATTTTTCATTGTTAGTTCATGTTAACTAAAGTAGTTATCTAATGTTAACAAAGGTCACTTTATAGTGAAGTGTTGCCAAAAATATAAATCTGTGATCAAATCATAATGTTCTTGCCTCCCATTCAGACTACAAGATTAACTCATATTCAGAGCTATCAGGATCAATTTGGCAGGAAATTTCAGACTGCCATTCATCCTTCTGTGCTCATATAATTTTTGCATATTCATCTTTCTTCTTACTTGCAAGTCACATCTGATATGATCACAGGAAACCATGGCCTTATCAGATTCAGTTGTGCATGAGAGCAGTACCTAAGCTTCAAAAATTACATTAAGTGCTGGAAAGCAAAATGGCTTTTCACACCACTCTGAAAAGCAATGCTTCTTGAGCTGTAGTGGGAGTAGAAAAGTAGCTGATAAATTACAGCACTAAAGGACAAAGTCCAGTTATGAGTTATACATACGCTGTATAATTACCTCTGATGAGATAATTATCTCAGCTTTATTCTTTAGCATCACAAACAAATACATACCCGTGTTAAACTTGTTGTTCTGGACTGCGAAGGGCTGCACTTGTAGCTCAAACGTGTTGATGGTAAGCTTGTCAGTGATGTTGTAACTCTGCTCTTTTTTGCACATGTAGGAGCTTCCGACAGATGCCTCCCACAGAGACAAATTATTATTGGAGGCATTGAAAACATTTCCTGTTGAAGTGATACCAATCAGAGGACAGAACATGATTACATGACAAGAGATGAGACACACCATTAGGGATGCACGATATATATTGGTACCACACTGTCTTGACATTTACATTCACTTACAGTTAATCTAAAAAAACAACAATAACTTAATACTGTTAAATATAATCTTTAGCGAACCTCAAAATGAATATCTTTTTCATATTAACTGTGATGCCTACATTCACTTGTAGCATTTAAAAACAATTGATTTTATTTTTCAGAGATTGTTTTTGAACATATTTAGACAAAATAGTACAGAATTCTGATACTGCCTTATTATTGTCTTGGGATGAAAATAATGAGAATAAGAAGATTTCAGGCATTTCATTTTCACTATTTTTTTACATTAAAAGTACCTTACCATTTGCAAGATTAACAGAGAGCATCAAAGCATGTAGACGGAACTTCTGTGAAACCTGTAAAAACAAACAGTTAGATGCAACCTGATATCATGAGAGAATGTAATTATTTTATTTATGAACTGGCAGTTTCATATAATTATATGTACAAAAAAAAAACTTTAGAAAAAAAGTGCAAGCATGATGGCCCAATGCTAACCCATTGACCTTAATCAGGTTAGATGCCATACTTACATACAGTCGTTACAATGACATGTACTGTATAAAGTTCCTAGATCATTTAATTTCCACAACTTTTAAGTTTGTTTTAAGGAGATTGTCTACTTTTTGTCAGCTTAACAGTAAGTGTGTTGTTAAACTACAGTACAATCCACTGAACTAAGGTCCATTCCTAAACCTAACCCAAAGTTGGGCATAAGCAGATCGTAGAGATACAATGCATTCAATTCACATTTAAGAATTGTCAATAGACGGCAAAAAAAAAACAGAACATTTACCACCTCTTTGCCTCAGTGGAATTTAGTCCAAAGTATATTTGACTCTCTTCTTTAAAAAGACTTACATTTGTGAAGATAAAATGAACTGTGATTTCTTCCGACTTCAGCACAAGGGAAGAGTCATTGCCACCACTTCCACAGGCTCCACTCACTTCCGTTACATTAGGACTCGGGTCAAGATTAAGAGTCTGAAAGCTGGCATTCTAAACAACAAGAACATAAAAGACTTGCAGTGGCATAATAGCCCTTCACAACAAATTTGCAGTAAAACATCACAGCTTTCAATTCTTGCGTTCCTCTGTACAGATCTTTCGAACCTACCTCACTCATTTTGAAACTGAACTGAAGGCCCATCTTTGCCAAAAGACAGACTGTGACATTGTCTGACTTGACACTGTAGTTTCCAACAGTTGGGTTGGGGACAGGAGGAGAGGTCGGAGGAGGAGTTGGAGCTGTTGTAGCATTAGAGTGTGCGGTAGTTGGCGCTTCTGTGGTGGAATTAGTCGTGTTGTGATGTGGGGTAGTTGGAGGCTCTGTAGTAGAATTAGTCGTGTTGTGATGTGGGGTAGTTGGAGGCTCTGTAGTAGAATTAGTCGTGTTGTGATGCGTGGTTGGAAATTCCGTAGTCACAGCGGCAGAAGTGGCAGCTGAAGAGGGTTTGTTGGTGGTTGGAGAAGAAGTGCTGGAGATGATTTGGTTTGTGCTTAACTTCTGTATTGCAGGTAATGGTGATGTCACCAGATCATCAGCATGCACAATACCTACACACAGGGTGGAAGCATAATGTTATTTCCTCATAGTTCACATGTGATACTGAGAATAGAAAAGCCTGCCCTTTCAAGCTTCCAAAATCAAGTTTAGCTAAACGCTTATAAATGCTAAATCACTAAACACTTAAAAAAAAAAAAAAAAAAAAAAAAAAAAAAAAAAAAAAAGGTACTTTTTTTTTCGGCATTATATCAAAAGTGAAAGACTACTTGGACACGCCACAGCCTTTCAACCACCTCTATGCGTAAGGAAATAAAAACAGCAATCCAAGCACATTCCAGTACCTTCCTTCCTGACTAACTGGCAGCAAACTAACACTCAAAATATTGCATTTGCTTTGCTTTTGTCTAAGACCTAACTGATTAAGGCTGGAATACACCAGATTTTCTATTTGCAATCAGGAGTTGACGCTAGTTGTCAAAAGTCAAAGCCAGTCCACAAATTTTGGGCATTCGGAGTTGATAGATTTCACAGAAAATCACATACTGTGTGATGGTCACACTCTGATTTTTTTTTTTTAGCTTCCATCCAGTCGGAGGATATCAAACATGTTTGATACTTTGGGCCAATTTTAGAACTCATGTTGTTCTCATTTATCATGCATCTCTTAGCAACAAGGCACATGTTTCTGCTTGAGTTTGTGGTGTTCAGAATGACTTGAAAGTCTGGTAGTGTGTGATCCTCAGTCCTTTAGTGTACAACGCCCAGTTTTTCCTCTGTAACCATTTGCAAAGTCGTCAAGCGCATGATGTCGCGTTTAAAAACCATTCAGACTTTAAATGTTGTGTAAAGTACACCAGCCTTTAGATTATCACAGTGAGTGGCTGTCCCCTGTCCTGTAGTTTGATGAAATCATTAACCTGGTGCTTCACACACAAACCCAACCTATGATTATGAATGAGGGTGGGTGAGAAAAATACACTGAACAAGCACTTCAGGATCACATGCTTTTGAAATTAAATGTGTCAAGTGAGAGAAATCTATGGCATTTTTTTCCTTCCATTTTTCGCTGAACATATTTTAAAATTAATAAACTGTTAAAGCGAGAGTTCGAAAATATTAACACAGAACGTCAGTCTGTCTCAACACTAATTGAAAACCGTTAGAACCAATATCAGACTTCTTTAACACACTGCAGTTAATACATCAGTACATGATATACTGGCTTTATTACAGCACTGCCTAGCTTGAATCACACCGGTTGTGTCTTAAAACCTAGTAAAACTACCAAAGTAGACAGCATTTTTGGACATTAAAACTTCAAATTTTGCGCCCCTTATTGCTGTCTATGTAGGCAGCGCGCTAGGTTGAGACAAGGCCAGAATTTTATTTTTTTACCTCAGTGCAATGTTACTAAATGATACAATATATTTAACATCTCCTAAACATATTTTAGCCGGTGTTGTTTTACATTTAAATTCGTTAACAATCTAGCAGGCAAACATCAGAAATTGAACGGCAATACACGGGTTATCTATTAAAATGAATTTATGTAATTTATTGATCACTCCTGAATTGTATTAATGTGTTTAAAACAATGCAAGGACGGTAAATATTTATCCCACAAGCTGACAGTCTCTCTGATTACCTAACGCTCTTCTACTGGCGTAGATTAGAGATCACGCTAATGCTAATGCTAATGCTAACAGGCTCCTATGGGCCTGCGATAACCTCCCAAAAATAAACTCAATATCTTATTTTGTAATGTGACACCGTCTGAAATAAAACACTCAACAACACAGTCGTACGTACCGCACAGTAGAATAAAGAGCAGGGTCACACAACCGCGGACAGCCATTGCGACGGGTGGATGGCTCCTCTGAGCAGGCAGACTGTAAGTGACGCCCGGACCGAGTTTGACCCGGTTCAGCAGCGCTGTGAATTCAGCCTCAAACCTGAGCTCATATAAATCATATGACAGGATGACGCTCTCCTCTTCCTGCACACGTATGGCAAGCCGGTTTAACATTTAATCTATAAACCGCACTAGTATCTAATTTAATGGTAGTAGTACTTATTTTTTAGATACTAGTATATTTTCCATTAAAGGGTTAGTTCACCCCAAAATTAAAATTCTGTCATTAATTACTCACCCTCATGCAGTGGTGTAATGTAACGAAGTAATAATACTTTGTTACAGTACTTAAGTATTTTTTGGGAGTATCTGTACTTTACTTGAGTTTTTATATTTCTGCCAACTTTTACTTTTACTCCACTACATTTCCTAATTAAAATGTATACTTTTACTCCGATACATTTCCTCGAAACATATTTGTTACTTACTACAAAATAAAGTCAGAAGAACACAGACTGCAGGAAAGCAGGTTGGACAAATCAGTGGTGTGGCGTTTGCAAGTTAGACTCCTAAAAACACCTTTGCGCACAACCGCGGATGATTTAATTTTCCGCTCAAGACGAGTCTGGGGTATGCGATTTACAGTATATCTTCTGCGATAATATGGTAAGTGTTGTTGAAATGATGTGCGATCTGACATTATCAAGTAGGCTATATCACCAAATCACACACAGCATGCACACACGTTGATTTATTAGTCTATTAAAACTCAAAATTCCAGGCATTCTAAATTGTAGACGGCAAAAATGCTTCTGTAAGCTTTTTATATTTATATAATTTAATATAGTTAACACACAAAAAGTACCGTTTTTCTGCAAATATCAGCAAAACACATTTAATAATCATTTTATACAAGTTCAGTAAAGCAATAAGTGACTTACATTTTAGACATAACATTGCTTGTTTTTGCTCAATTTTGCAAACGAAAATAATTCTAAACAAAGATCACACAGCACTGTTTTGCATCTCTGAGCAATGGACAGTGTTTGTTTAATTATTGAATGAATCAGCTTTTTGAACGAATCGGTTGATAAAAATGATTCAGCGATTCACTCATTAACACAGTCAAATGCTTTGTTCCTGAATGAATCAGCCATTTGAATGAATCGGTTGAATCTCAATGACTCACTCATTAAAAGTCACTTGCTGCCACCTACTGTTGGTTTTAATTTCACATTTCGACTATTTTTTCATGTTTTAAATTATTTCAAATATCAGTATTCAAGTTAAAAACAAAACATTAGACCTATGTATGCATCTGTAACTGCAGTTTAAATGCATCCATGTCCAATCTGAGATACATTAAACTGTGTAAATACATCTAAATGCTATTTCAGATGCAGATTCCAGAAATGTTTTCTTATGTTGGCATGAAAGACACTAAGTACCGGATGAAGTGCTTCTTATTCTTACCCAAAAATACAAAATGGAAGAAAGAGTTAAAACTGAACACAATCTTGCTACTCAAGCTGTGGATGAACATTTTCTATATATATTTCTTTGCTTCTTTTCCATTTTGCATTTACTTGTACTTTTACTTTCAATACTTAAGTACGTTTAAGACTTTAAAAATACTTTTCGTACTTAAGTACAATAAATATCACATACTTTAAGACTTTTACTCAAGTAATATTCTAAACGGTGATTTCAACTTCTACCAAAGTAATTTTCTGGTAAGATATCTGTACTTTTACTGTTTTTTGCTTTCAGGTACTTTATACACCACTGCCCTCATGTCGTTTCAAACCCGTAAGACCTTCGTTCATCTTCGGAACACAAACTAAAATATTTTTGATGGAATCTGAGAGCTGTTTGATCCTGCATAGACAGCAACGCAACTGAAATGTTCCCAAGTCCAGAAACGTAGCAAGGAGATCTGTAAAATAATCCATGTGACATCAGTGGTTCATCCACAAGTATACGAAGCTACGAGAATACTTTTTGTGCGCAAAAGGAATAAAAAAAAAAAGACTTTATTCAACAACTCATCTCCTCCGCATCATCCTGGTGCCATTTTGGAGAATATCAGCTGGACGTAAACAACATATGCTGTTCTGTGTCAGCTGCGTCACGCCGGATCAGTTTCCTATGTTGTTTGCGCTTTGATTTGAATGAAAACAACATATCCACCATATAGAAATATGGGCAGTTGGGCACAAAGATGAAAATCAAAAATAAGAAAGTCCATTGTCAGAATTTGTAACTCTTGTGTTGTTCTCTGTCTATACAGTATATGCTTTCCAGCTGAAGATTCATGAGATTAACCTTTGAGCTATTTCTGAGAAATGGTTTATCATTGGTTGATCTACATTCTCTTCATTAGCGAAAGTCAAGATTCACTTGCACAATTCATGCCAAATTTACAAAAAGTCTAATAATGAAGTGTAAAAAAATGTGCTTGACAGTTTATGACAACTAGATGAACCATTTTGCATTTAATGACTTATACGATGAACTAAAGACTAGATGTTTTGAGGGGTAAGACTATTGCACAGAAAACTATATAATACATTTTGAGCAACATGACATTAGCAACTGATAATGTAGGAAACTGCAGATAAATGTACATAATCAACTGCATGAATGTACCAAAGCAATCGCAACTTGTTCAAAAGAATGATAAACTGGTTTTATGATGTGTACAAATGACTAGATGATGTGGAGGTTGTACAAGTAGTTTTGAGAATTTCATTTCTGATTTGAGAAATGCACCAAAATGTCTGAGAAAAACTGTAATGTAAAAACATTCAATGTCTGTAAGCACCAGTGCTATATGCAAAAAAAAGTTAACGTACAGCCCTGGTATGAAAAATAGGAAAATAACAGATAATAAAATTGGTGTCTTATCTCCATCCTGCCACTAGAGGTCACTCGATGACCAACAAACACATTAGGCTACTACGTTAACGAAATTACAATGTTTACCAAACTGACAAAAATACATTTTCTATGTGCTTGTGTACAAATAATTGTTTATTTTCTATGTGGTTTCCTCAACAAAGTACATCCATTTTCTTGTTTCTGTTTCCTGTCTAATCTCTCTCCTATGTTGCTGGTTCATTAATATTCAACATACGATTACCATACTGGGAAGAAATGCTAATTTAAAAGCTACTAGATACTAGTATCTATTAAGTTCAGGATATCTCTGGTCTAAAACGTTACTAGTAACTGAAAAATAAGTAGCCTACTAGTTCTATTTTTTCTTAATAAGAAGAGTATAATTAAATACTAGTTACTATTGGAATAAGTACTAGTATCTAATAAATAAGAACTAGTATCTAATGAATAAGTACTAGTAACTTTACAAAAGACACTGGTACCTAAAGAATAAACACTAGTACCTAAAGAAAAAGCACTAGTAGCTAGAGAATAAGTACCTAAAAAATAAGCACTAGTACCTAAAGAATAAGCACTGGTAGCTAAATGATAAGCACTGGTAGCTAAATAATAAACACTAGTACCTAAAAATAAGCACTGGTAGCTAAATAATAAGCACTGGTGGCTAAATAATAAGCACTGGTAGCTAAATAATAAACACTAGTACCTAAAGAATAAGCACTGGTAGCTAAAGAATAAGCACTGGTGGCTAAATAATAAGCACTGGTAGCTAAATAATAAACACTAGTACCTAAAGAAGAAGCACTAATAGCTAAAGAATAAACACAAGTAGCTAAAGAATAAACACTAGTACCTAAAAATAAGCACTGGTAGCTAAATGATAAGCACTGGTGGCTAAATAATAAGCACTAGTACCTAAATAATAAACACTAGTACCTAAATAATAAACACTAGTACCTAAAGAATAAGCACTAGTAGCTAAAGAATAAGCACTAGTAGCTAAAGAATAAGCACTTAGTACCTAATGAATAAGTACTAGTACTTAATGGAAAAGTTGCTAGTATCTAAAAAAATAAGTACTAGTACCATAAAAATAGATACTAGTATACGGCTTATAGATTAAATGTTAAAACGGCTTTCCATAGCACATGAGTCTTATGTCGAGTTTATGACCACTGTTCAATTGCCAAACCTGTGTGTAATTAAATCAGCTACAGAAATGTTTTATTCCTGTTTCAGAGCGCAATAAATAAGCAGACGATAGTCTTTGCTATTAAAAGATTTAAGGTTTTAAAGTTTTATCTGATCACACAAACTATTACAAAACCACTGTAGATCAGATCATAACATTGTTCATTATTAATGCCAAAACATAAATTGAAAGGAGCACAGTTAGCATAAATACTGCTATGTGTGAAAATGTAATATTAGTAAAGCCTGTTATCCAAATGTTATATGCAGTTTCTGATGCTATTATCACTTTTTTCTAGTTGATTTCTATTTGTGATAATCTGTTTTGGCACATATCTCAGCCCTTGTATTAGGTTTGAATCTGTGCATGACGGTTATAGTCGAGGACCCTAATTGGATTCAACACAGTTCACCAAAAATCAGACAAAAACTAATTAAAATCGCAAAACTTTTTTCATTATACAGCACATTATACACATATTTTGTGGTTAAATGAAAACATTTTTGAATCACAAAACAATTCAAATGGCATAAAATGCAGTTTACATACAAAATCAAACCATAAAAGAAATTGTAATTAGCTAACTGTATTAAATTACTTAAAACGCATTTGACATCCTGCCCCATTAAATGTGACAACTGGCCCTGACCAGACATTTATGGATAATAGAATTGAAACCTTTTAGTAAAAATAAACATTCATTATATAGTTGGCCACAAAAAATATAGAAATTTTAGCTTGGAGGATATCATTAACAACGTTATTCTTATTTAAGATAGTTTTGAGTGAAATCTTGCTAGTGTTTTTAAGCGCTTGGAGACCAGTCTTCGCATGATGTATTGTCGCCCCCTGGCGGAGGGTCGGAAACGTCAGGCCTCGCGCTGAACCAAAGCGCCTCAACAGCAGCTGCGCAACGGTAGAAAGTACTTCCGGCGGGTCAGCGTCGCCTCTTAAAAAAGTTACTATTTCCCCGCAGACTTTTCCTCAAACCTAAAATACCAGTCTATCTACCGAGCGGAAAGACAGCGTCCGGCAGAATGCTTTAACGCAGACAGCCCTCGGCAAAAAGCAGTTTGTAATCCAACGGACTTGTGTGCAGCGCGCCGGAGTGTGCTCGAGCGAGAGGAAGCAGTATTCAACCATCTTTCCTCTGCTGGCAATAACAAGAACAGAGAAGGGTCCAAGTGGGGCTGCACTTCTCAGTTTATCCTCTTTTTCATACTCGGAGCCGCGAGGTTGCACTTTCCCCAACCGAGACCGAGGAATAGAAAGCGTCCACACCCGGGATCGTAGTATTAGTAGATTAGCGATTTGATTTGGTATTTCTTTTTTAATGTTTCCAACAGGTTTACCTTCCCCTAATCCCCCACCGCCAGCCCAAGAGCCCAGACCGGCAGCTTCTGATGTTCACAACGACAGTAACGTTAGCTTAACGTCTTCTAAGAAGAGGAAAATTAACAGTTCCGAGAAGGAAGACATTGATTCAATATCTTCGTCTCCTAAAGCCATTTGTAATTCCTCCTCCACAACGTCCAGCTCTTCCAGTACACAGCAGCAGCAGCACATCCAGAAGAAGTTGAGGTTCGAGGACCCGCTGGATTTGATCGGACTGGATGTGAAGATGGCCGAGGAGTCGTGTAACCCTGCAGAGTCGTGCTCCAAGGCGAGAAATGTGTTCCTGCCCGGAGGTGTTGGGCATCATGCTAACGGACTGACCAAGTCTGCGGGCTCCGCCACCTTCTCCAACAGCAAACCCGGTGCTGCGAAGAAACTTGTTATCAAGAACTTTAAAGGTAGGTGAATAGTCTGGGTTCGCCCTCGTCTTGTCTGAAAACATCTTGGGCTGTGTCTCAAAACTTAGCGAGCTGCCAGCCTATGCAGCATTTTTGGCTAAACGCATCTGCGATGGATAGAAATGATGCGTAGTATCTAAAGCAGTAGTAAACAACTTCAGTAACTGTCTTACAAAAGGAAAAGTGCTGCTGTCATGGTGTTGAGACCAGCTTTTTATCTATACGCACTTATATATAGACTTTATTATGTAACTGGCGTTTGTTTATGAAGGAACTTCCCAAAATAAAAACACAATTAATTGAAACACTAAATAGTTTTAGTTTTTCTTTTGCATCTTAACTGTTTGTAAACATCCTTTTCTTTTTGATTTCATTTTTTTATGTGTGTGTGTGTATATTCACAATTATTTCTGCTTTTAAACCCTCAAAGTGCATGTTAACCCAGTTTACCCCCATGATGATGTCCTTACTTGTCCGTACTAACTTATTCTTAAACTCAAACTATTTTAGTGTTCAACATTATGCCACGTTGTCATCTGCATCTTTACATTTAGTCCTAGTAGCCATAATTTTGCAATTCAGCATTATTCTGCATATTTGAAGGCATTAACGAAAGTTAATTATTTTAAAATAAATAACCTTAGTAACTGCCTTATAAAATGTAATGCTGTGCTGTTGTCACAGGTGAGATCGGCTTTTTGTCTATATGTACTTGTGTATAGATTTTATGTAACTTGCATTTGTTTATGATGGCACATCACTTGTATAGACAAAATCAAGATCTGACCTTCACTGAAACACTAACCAGTTTTTATGTTACGCATCCTTATTGTTTGTATAATATTATATCAGAAAAGAAAATGATATATTATACCTTCTTTTCGTTATAATATTATATCAGAAAAGCCCAAATTACCGGAGAATTACACGAATGAGACCTGGCAGAAGCTGAAGGAGGCAGTAGAGGCCATACAGAACAGCACTTCAATAAAGTACAATCTAGAAGAGCTCTATCAGGTAGGTTTATGTACATATCTGTTTTATCATTTAGTAATATTATACATGGAATCTAATGCCATTTATTCCCTTTTGTTTTTTCAGGCTGTTGAAAACTTGTGCTCCCATAAGATATCTGCCAAGCTCTATAAACAGCTCAGAGTGGTCTGTGAAGACCATATCAAGGCACAGATTGACCAGTTCAGAGAATATCCTTTTCATTGCTACAAGTTTATATTCTTAAAATATAGTTAATTTTTTGAAACAATGGCCCATCAAACATGATACAATTATTAGATATTAGACATATTTTTGCAGCATTTTTTTTTTTGAGGATTCTTTAATGTATAGAAAGTTTAGAAAAACACATTTATTTGAAATATAAATATTTAGTAACATTATAAGTGTTTTTACTGTCACTTTTGATCAAATTTTGATCCTTGCTGAATAAAAGTATTCATTTCCTTCAAAAGCCCTTACTGAATTTAAATATTTGCATGGTAGTGTCAGAAATATTTTTTATTTTTAAAAATTAATCATGTATTTCTTAAAACAAAAATAGCAACATTGATTTTAATTTTATATAATAGCTAGAAAACTATGGCAGACGGTGCATATGATGAGCACGGTCAATATATGAGGGAACATTCTTCAGAGTCACTGGTAATTAAATAGGACTGTCTGCTTACAGACTGCTAATCATAACTCATATGAAACCATTTCTTAACTCTTGATCTACGGATGCCTTAGACAGTGTTCTGTTCCTCAAGAAAATAGACAAATGTTGGCAAGATCACTGCAGACAAATGGTTAGTGAAGTTAACTAAGAGCTAGAGCTACCCTAGAGCTCTTGTCTCTACATTTCTTTTGAATAAGTTGAAAGTTGACCTTTTTATTAAATGTTCCAATATCTAGTTATTTACCTGTTTGCAAAAATGGTTTTAATACAAAAACACTGTCTTTTCTTCTAGATCATGATTAGGAGTATATTTTTGTTTTTGGATCGCACATATGTTTTACAAAATTCAATGCTGCCATCAATCTGGTATGTCTTGCCGAAAGAATTTGTAACATTGGCACAGTCACATTTGCTGTCTTTATTTACTACCATTGCATTGCTGTTCCTTCCACTGGTGATTAAAGATACACTTGTGTTCTGTCTTCAGGGACATGGGCTTGGAGTTGTTTCGTTTCTATATCATCAGCGACCTGAAGGTGCAGAGTAAGACAATCGATGGGATTCTTCTGCTTATTGAGAGAGAGCGGAGTGGAGAAGCCGTAGACCGCAGTCTCCTGAGGAGTCTTCTGAGCATGCTCTCAGATCTGCAGGTTAGCTCACCTGCTTTCTCAGTTGTACTCAAACCAACGTATCTGGGTTTATGTTGCATTTATGGCATAACCATTTAATAATGGTTTTAACCATTTAATATTCCTGTAATTTGCATCTTTACACTTAGTCTCAGTTGCAAAAACTGAAATTCTGCATTAATACATTAATGAAAGATTAAACAAAACCATGGCAAATGTTCTACAGATCTTGTAAGGTCTTGATCTCTGATATCATTCAGCCCTTAAATTGTGTGGTCAAACCTGTTAGTGTTCATATTGTTGTTGTAATCACACTTTTGTTCATTTTTATGACAGATTTATCAGGATTCATTTGAGCAGCGGTTTCTGGAGGAGACAAATCGACTGTATGCTGCAGAGGGCCAGAGGCTCATGCAGGAAAGAGAGGTGAGTTTCACCTCGGGAACAAAGTATTGATTTATTTAATTTAATTTTTTATTTATTGTTTTATTATTGTGATTCTGTGAGTGATAAATTATTGGCGTGCCTCATTAAGTGGAAGTTAGCTACAAGTGGAAGTTAGCTACAGGCTTGTACATTGATAGAGGCTAGATTTGTATTTTTTTTCTTTTAATAATGCAATCACCCTTAGTTTTTGTTTCAAAATTAATTACACCCCTACAACGAGGAGACAAATCGACTGTATGCTGCAGAGGGCCAGAGGCTCATGCAGGAAAGAGAGGTGAGTTTCACCTCGGGAACAAAGTATTGATTTATTTAATTTAATTTTTTATTTATTGTTTTATTATTGTGATTCTGTGAGTGATAAATTATTGGCGTGCCTCATTAAGTGGAAGTTAGCTACAGGCTTGTACATTGATAGAGGCTAGATTTGTATTTTTTTTCTTTTAATAATGCAATCACCCTTAGTTTTTGTTTCAAAATTAATTACACCCCTACAAAGATATGCTGCTATTTTGTTTTTGTGGAACATAAAAATGAAAATCTTTTTTTTTTCAATACAATCACATTTCGTAGTGTCATGTATTCCAGGTGACTAGTCTTCTGTGGTCATATGTTTTTGAGAGATGTAGCAGAGGTGAAGATAACTAGTATAAGTCATAAATACCACTTTTATGTCTGGCCTTTAGGAACTGTGATTGTATGAAAAAAAGATTGAAATGAAGATGTGTTCCACAAAATAAACAAACAGAAATTTTTATGAACTATACTTTTAATTAGTTTATTTAATTGTTTTTTTCTGTCTCATTTAGGATAGTAACATTTCAGTTATTTATTCCTAACAAATATTTTCTTTTCAGGTGCCAGCGTATCTCCATCATGTCAACAAACGTCTGGAAGAGGAGGCAGATAGAGTCATTACATACTTAGACCAGAGCACACAGTACGTATGCAGAGAATATATAATTTGCATATTGAGTTATTTTGGCAAAAATATATGTGAATGTTTATCTTATTTATTTGTAGAAAACCCCTCATTGCCACAGTGGAAAAGCAACTGCTTGGAGAACACCTCACTGCAATACTTCAGAAAGGTATCGCCTTCATCGAATGAAGAGGATTGACACTGTATTTGGTGTTCAAATGGTTAACCATCCTCAAAATTAGAAGTAATTTACATAAGTGACTGTTTACTTGCCACACTCTAGGTTTGAATAACCTGCTGGATGAGAACCGTATTCAGGATCTGGCTCTACTGTACCAGCTCTTCAGTCGTGTGAGGGGAGGCGTGCAGGTGCTTCTGCAGCACTGGATCGAGTACATCAAGGTGTGCAGGGAACCCATCTAGATGACTGAAAAAAACATGACATAACAGTTCTGAATGTGCACATTCAATTTCACAAGTCTTGTTTTTTTTGTGTCTCAGGCCTTTGGAAGCACAATTGTCATCAACCCAGAGAAAGACAAGACAATGGTTCAGGAGCTTTTGGATTTCAAGGATAAAGTCGATCACATCATTGATGTATGTTTCATGAAGAATGAGAAGTTTGTAAATGGCATGAAGGAGGCCTTTGAGACGTTTATCAATAAACGGCCGAACAAACCTGCGGAGCTCATAGGTCAGTTCGCAAATGTTGTTTTCCAAGCAGTCTTTGAGGGTTTTTGTTTGATTGAGAGCTTGCAGCTGATTGGATCGAGACAAATATTAATATTCACTAATGTTGTGAATTTATGTTCTATAGCAAAATATGTGGATTCAAAGCTCCGTGCTGGGAACAAAGAAGCGACAGATGAGGAACTCGAGAAAATGTTGGACAAGATAATGATCATATTCAGGTTCATTTATGGTAATACATTTAAACTTAATGCTCTGTTCCAAAGACCTAGAACGTTTTCAATTATTAAACATCTGTCTAAGCTTCATAGACTTTCTCATCTCTCTTTTAAGGCAAAGATGTTTTTGAGGCCTTCTACAAGAAAGACTTGGCTAAGAGGTTACTAGTGGGAAAGAGTGCCTCTGTAGATGCAGAGAAATCAATGCTGTCAAAACTGAAGCATGGTAAATTACATTTCTCCTTTCATGTTTGATTCTTAAAACGTCCCATCCTCATTAACCCAGTTGTTTCAACAGGCCGTGAAGTAAAAAAATGGTGAATTGTGTTTTTCTTGTAGAATGTGGAGCTGCATTTACCAGTAAGCTGGAAGGAATGTTCAAAGACATGGAACTCTCAAAAGATATTATGGTGCAGTTCAAACAAGTAATGATGGCTTTTATTTTTATTGTCATTATTTACATTCTCTTATTTTGTATAATTACATCTTTCAAATTTCTCTCTTTGAATCTGCACCTCAGCACATTCAATGCCAAAATATTCCTGGGAACATTGAGTTGACGGTGAACATCCTCACTATGGGTTATTGGCCAACATACGTCCCCATGGAAGTACATCTGCCTCCAGAGGTCTGTTCTGATGAATATTGAGAGATGGGATCTTGGATTAGATAATCCCTGGTCCTTTAACATGACAGTAATAACCTTTTTTTTTTTTTAAAAAACCTTCACTCTGTAGATGGTAAGATTGCAAGAGATTTTCAAAACGTTTTACCTGGGCAAACACAGTGGACGGAAACTACAGTGGCAATCGACATTAGGACATTGCGTTTTAAAGGCAGAATTCAAAGAGGTAATGCACATTTTCTTTTGAAAAAAGCAATTTGGCTTGAATACCAGACTTGGTAGCTGATCATAATATTTGTATAGGCTAATTAAATCAGAACATTCTTTTCTAAAGGTTTCTCAGAAAAATAAATGGCTATATATATATTTTTTTCTCTCCTTTTTTTTTCCACAGGGCAAAAAAGAGCTGCAGGTTTCCCTGTTTCAGACGTTAGTTCTGCTGATGTTTAATGAAGGGGAGGAGTTCTCTCTGGAGGATATTAAATTGGCTACAGGCATTGGTATGGATACTTGTGACAAGCAAACGTATTGCAATTTATTCCTGCTTTTAAGAGATACTATTGTATTCAATGTTAAACCAGGGTTTCTGCAGGTCTTAAAAAGTTCCTAAAAAATGAAGGCATTCAAAATTCTAAGATTGAAAAAAAAAATATGCCTAGAACTAGAACAATGGGGTACGAAAACTTGTTTTCCCCTTGAATTAAGTTAATTTTTCTGAGTCCATTGGCAGATATCTGTTCTTGCTTTAATCGTGAACTCACTCAATTTAGATGAATTCCACAGTAAATAAGACGACTTGCCCCATGACATTTTGCTTCAAGTAAATGTATCTTGATATGAGAATCTTTAGACATTTGCACGAAAAAACAAGACAAAAATGCTAAGGAAAAACATCACTTTTTTGCAGTGTGATTAGAAGTACAGTAAAAGTGATTTCCATATTCTAGAGGTTGGGATCTGAGCGATTCAAGCCTTTTTTTCCCCCATCGTGAACTCACTCAATTTAGATGAATTCCACAGTAAATAAGACGACTTGCCCCATGACATTTTGCTTCTCAAGTAAATGTATCTTGATATGAGAATCTTTAGACATTTGCACGCAAAAACAAGACAAAAATGCTAAGGAAAAACATCACTGTTTTGCAGTGTGATTAGAAGTACAGTAAAAGTGATTTCCATATTCTAGAGGTTGGGATCTGAGCTATTCAAGCCTTTTTTTCCCCCGTGAGCACCAAAATCAGCATATTAGAATGATTTCTGAAAGATCATGTGACACGGAAGACTGGAGTAATGATGTTTAAAATTCAGCTGGTTGTGAAACGGGATGCCTAAATAACAAATAGGACAGTTTAATGTGAATTATGTTTAACAAAAATAATTCTGATCAAAGAGATTTCTCATAATCATTTAGATTTCACTTAAATTCTTCACAGTTAAGGTATTACCCCCCCCCAGTCTTAAGATTTCATATAATGTGAGCAATATGAATAATTTTCTCTATGTCACTAAAATTGGAAATTAGCCCAAGACTCACTGTGCTCACAGCAGAGAACATATGCCACTGCGACTAAATTTTGTTTCATCTTTTTGCAGCCTGCTGATCTGAAGAAGAGGATAGAGTCACTTATTGACAGGGACTACATGGAAAGGGATAAGGAGAATCCCAATCAATACAACTATGTGGCTTAGCGAGAATAAGAGGTATAAATGAGGGATGGTAGAAATGACAGGAGGAAGCTGTTCTCAGTGACGTTGTTTACTTCCCTTAGCACATGGAACCCCTTGTTCCAGGTTTTGTTCACTTCAACATCTTCACCCCAGTGACCAACATCTGAATCAGTTTTCTCTTCATGGCTTTGACAGGGTAGGGTAAGTTTTATTTCTCTCAGAATGGCATGTCCAATTAGAAGAAAAGAAAATACAAAATTATTTTGTTTAAATGCTTCTGAGAATTGGACTATCCCAAGCTTAAAAAGAAAAGGTATTTATTTTCAGACTTAGTTCCGTGGCTATTGTTTGTTGTCTCTGGCATGGTTTTTTTTCATTGTTTACTCATGCAAATATCACACAACATATTGACGTATTACCTGTGCAAAGAAAACCAACACCAGATTGACTGAATTTGACTCATTTGTTCAGTCAGTGTCGTATTGGGTACCGGTGTGTGAACATTGAAAACAGGTTTTCTCTTTGCCAATGTTTGTACAAAGAAAAGAAGATTCAGCTGATTGGTCACAAGCAGTTTATGTTCTGTGAAGGATTTATTGATAAATGGAACAATTGAGGCTGATTGGAAATTTCACAGTATGTGCCAAGATTAGATCAAACCAAGCACTTGTTTGTAGGAATGTTAACGCTGCTAAACACTAACTTGTACATCTTCCTTCTTTTTCCTCCCTGCTTACATCTCACATTTCCTCTTGTTTATTTTGTATATACATTTTACACACAACTTTGATGTTTGACACTTTCGACTACATTGCAACGGCATTCTTTCTCTGAAAACTCTGAACAAGCACAGCAGCACCATTTTATCATTCTAGTGTTTCCAAGTTTATATATCCCTTAAGTTCTGAATTAGGCCTATATACTGAGAAGCTCCTCTGTGTGGCATCCATGGATCGGTCTGTGGAATTTTCGGCAATGGTGTTTTGAGAAATCATACTGAAGTGGACAGTCGTCCAGTGTCTGGAAAAAGTATGCTTGTTTTTATTGCCTCCGAATAAACAGCTTTATGTGTTTCCATGATCTTGTCCCTCAAATCGATTTGTGTGATCTTCATTGAATAATATTTGATGACAAATGGATAATTAATTCTAGATGATGTGTGGGTGAATGGACCAAAGAAGCCTCAGACATCATAAATTGGCAGTCTTTCATTATTTTCATGAAAAATACATTGAGCATAATAAGTATTCTAACTAATAACCATATAAAACTTGACGTTGTGTTTTATATACAGTGCTGTGAAAAGGTTTTTGCCCCCTTCCTGTTTTGTTTATTTTTTGCATATGTCACACTTAAAAGATTCAGATCAAACAAATTTTTATATTACACAAAGATAATGCAAGTAAATACAAAAGGAAGTTTTTAAATGATTTCATTTATTAAGGGAAAAAAGCTGTCCAAACCTACGTGGCCCTACGTGAAAAATTAATTGCCCCCTCCTGTTAAATCATGAAAGAACTGCAATTAACCACATTATTTTAGAAAGCGGAGTTAAATTTATTATACAAAAAATATCTTGATTATCCCCAAGACTTTTGGGCAAGTATTCTGTGGACTGATGAGACAAAAGTTGAACTTTTTGGAAGGTGTGTGTCCCGTTACATCTGCCGTAAAACCAACACAGCATTTCATAAAAAGAACATCATACCAACAATCAAACATGGTGGTGGTAGGGCGATGGTCTGGGGCTGCTTTGCAGCTTCAGGACCTGGACGGCTTGCCATAATTGACGGAACCATGAATTCTGCTCTCTATCAGAAAATCCTGAAGGAGAATGTCCGGCCATCAGTTTGTGACCTCAAGCTCAAGCGCACTTGGGTTATGTAGCAGGACAATGATCTTTGAGGTTTTGGAGTGGCCAAATCCAAGTCCGGACTTAAATCCGATTGAGATGCTTAAACAGTCCATTCATGCTCGAAAACCCTCCAATGTGGCTGAAGTAAAACAATTCTGCGAAGAAGAGTAGGCCAAAATTCCTCCACAGCGATATAAAAGACTCATTGCCAGTTATCGCAAACACTTAATTGCAGTTGTTGCTGCAAAGCGTGGCACAACCAGTTATTAGATTTAGGGGGCAATTACTTTTTCACGTAGGGCCAGGCAGGTTTGGACAGCTTTTTTTCCCTTAATAAAATAAATAATCATTTAAAAACTGCATTTTGTATTTACTTGCATTCTTTGTGTAATAATAAAATTGGTTTGATCTGAATCTTTTAAGTGTGAGAAATATGCAAAAAATAAAAAAACAGGAAGGGGGCAAATGCTTTTTCACACCACTGTATGTATATATGTATGTTATGGAAGATATCAAAGTTGGCTTAGATTTATAATTTAAGCCAATACTCTTTAGGCAAATTTTTTGTTTATGCACCGATTGAATTTTGCTTCCATAACATATTCTTTCAGACTAGTGGGATGGCAATTTTAAAATAAAATAAAATACATATCTTTAAAGGCATTTTCTCAAAATATTTGTTCCCCTCATGCACTAAACCAGAAATCTCCACTTTACTAGCTCTTCCATAAAACTTATTCCAATCTATATTCTGACGTTTTTATTTTATCTATTTGCAGATTTCTGATCTTGGAATGTATGCGAAGTTGGTGCATATTTAAACATTTATGGGGAAAATTGTAATGCAAAAGAATTGTCTTAATATGCTGCGATTAGTGTGTTTTTTTTACTCACTTTGACTATCATTAACGACTAAAGTTTAACAGATGTATTGCAAAACAGCATCATTTTGTCATACTGTATGTACTTCCACCCCTTGCCGTAAAATGTTTACCACTGTCGTAAACAGGAATCACCTGCGGCTGACGTGAAGCGTGGAGTTAGTTCATTAAATCTACTGAATGTTTAGGTTTTTTTGGTTCAAAAAACTTAACAATTACGAGCTGTAAGATCACACAGATCAGAGGACAAGAGTGACCGATAGCGACCTGCAAGGATGTTTAAAAAGTAAGCTTGGGCCGTTGTCAACCTTATAAATAGTAGCTAACACAACTTAGCATTGTTGCAGTAATGTATTGTTTCGTTAACCCAGTAGCTTTGCCATATCAGTAGAAATAGAAGAAATGTTGCATGTATACGCTTATCAGTTTTATATGCTATTGCAACTTAATATGTGCCCTCAATTCTGTAACCGAGACAGCAACCTGTTTAGCTAACGTTACTCTGCTAACTTGCTCTGTCACAGCTGACTTTCATGGTTCATTAGAAATGATCCATCTGTATTCCTATGTTTTTAGTGTTTTTATACTTACTTTTTAGATGCATTTAAGATACTTCTAATATTTCTAACGTGAACCGATGATAAGCAAACTGCAAAAAAGACTGTGATTGCAATGGGTGTTTACATGAAACATTCAAAGACAGAAACCTGGTCAGTTTTTAATTATAAAACAACTGATGTTAATTATGTCATATGAGACCTTAATATTAGACCAGTTTCTTTATTTTGTCATACTTTGCCATAAAAATATAATATTACAGACACCTGTATGCAGGTATTAGACATTAAATTGGCTAATTCCTTTTTTTCCCTCTGTCTTCATAGATTTGATGATAAGGAAAATGTTTCAAACTGTATTCAACTGAAGACATCTGTTATTAAGGGTATAAAGAATCAGCTGTTAGATCAGTTTCCCAACATCGATGATTGGCTCAACCAGATAATGCCCAAAAAGGACCCAGTCAAAATTGTGAGATGGTAAGAGTTGCACTATATATGAAGTCAGTGCTTACTCGTATGCAGTACTAAAAGAGTAACTCATTTTACATCAGAGGTGTGATATTTTATGTTTCCAGTCATGAGCATATTGAAATTCTAACGGTAAATGGAGAGCTACTCTTCTTCAGACAGAGAGAGGGACCCTTTTATCCCACCCTCAGACTTCTACACAAATGTAAGGCCGCTTTCATTTTCATCAGTAGCAGTAAGATGTTTCTCTGCAGAAAAGATTGCCAGGTGCCAGAAGGGTGCTTGTATTACTAAGTTAGACTTATTATTCCTTTGGTCAGACTAATGGCTGGTACTTGCGTGTCTGTTCTTCAGATCCCTTCATTCTGCCACACCAACAAGTAGATAAAGGAGCCATCAAATTTGTTCTGAGTGGAGCCAATATCATGTGCCCAGGCCTCACATCACCAGGAGCCAAACTCTTCCCTGCTGCAACAGACACAGTAGTCGTATCTTTCCAACTGTTGTATTATATTCTATTTTCTAAAATATTTTTCTCCACTTGATGAATTAATCCTATTGATTCATTGTAAAGGAATAGTTCACTAAATTCCGAGTATGGGTCACCATCATCACTTCAAACTCAGTTTTAGTTTTTAGCAATTTTAGTGTTTCAAGGTAGTTGCCAAAGCAATTGTGTGTGTTGATTATCACAGGTTGTTGTCCTTAAGTATCTGTTTTTTAGGCCATAATGGCAGAAGGGAAGCAGCACGCGCTTTGTGTGGGAGTCATGAAGATGTCTGCAGATGACATGTAAGTGTTTTTATGCATCTCCTGCACTCTGAATCCCATTTGGGTTATAAATGCGAAAAACACACACAGTGGAATTTTTAGCTGCTCTAGAACAGGGGTGCCCAATCTCAGTCCTGGAGGGCCGGTGTCCTGAAAAGTTTAGCTCCAACCCCAATTAAACACATCTGAACCAGCTAATCAAGCTCTTACTAAGCATACTAAACTTAAAGGCAGGTGTGTTGAGGCAAGTTGGAGATAAACTGTGCAGGACACCGGACTCCAGGACCGAGCTTGGGCACCCCTGCTCTAGAGTCTATAGTCTCGATTGTGGTGTAAATACATCATGTATAAAAATTATTTTAGTTAACACAGAGGAAATAATGAATGAAATCAATATAAATAA